TGTGTATATATATATACATACACACACATATACATACACACATGAACAAACACAAAAGATAGAAGGTGATTTTGACAGGGAGGGCACTAGCCTCTGGAGGGGCGAGGAAAGGCCACATGTAGAAGGTGACCCTTGAGGCTTTGAATGATTGACCAAAATGGCTGCCTGAATGGAGGCAGGCAAGCCCATTTCGCACATACTTATTCCTGCTGTTTGCCTAAGTGTGGGCACTGACTTTTCTGGTATACTCTCTTTCTCTCTTTCCTATTATCTTTGGAATTCTGGTTGACTTTTTGTGTCGTTCTGGGGTGGTTGGAGTCACTTTGTGAAGTCGTTTGATTTTCTCATTGGATCTCTTGATTATCCAATGGCTAGCACAGTGCCAGGTATGTGGCTGATGATTAATAAATGCTTCTCGATTAATTGACTGAACATGACCACATGCTTCCTCTTCTCCAGTAGGCTGAGCCTCTTGCAACAACCATGTGAGATATAGATAGTGCAAGTATTATTATCTCTATATTACAAATGAGTAAACTGAGGCTCTGAGAGGTAAAATGCCATACCCATAAGCAAATGGAAAGGACTTGTCTAGCGCAGGATTCAAACCCAGGTCTCCTTCTTCAGGTCCATCACTCCATCCATTAGGGTACCGCTCCCTCCGCAGTGGACTGATACATAATTCTTGTTTTATTACATGACTATGATTATTTGTCCAGGGTGAAATTCAGGGCTGCTTTCATGGACCTGTGCTGAGGGACATGGAAGTCCAAGTCTGACAAAGAGGATTCTAAACTGCCAGTAATTAACAAAGAGAGCAAGTGCTTCATGAATGTTTGTTGAATTATACTGAATTGGCCAATCAAAATGTTTTAGATATTTGGAAAATGCAAGTGGATCCAATAGATAGGGCCCATTCCATGTTGCTAGGTAAAAACAAAACCTAGCCACACAGATGGAGACAATAATTCTAGCAACACTGACATTTTTATAGCATTGCATGCATATCAAAGCACTTTCCCATCTCCAGCCATCATAAAGCTCTGCAAAGCTTGACGGGAGAGCCCTCTATATGTGGTAAGGATGGCACAGCAGAGAAAATATGCCAACACTTCCAAAATTACTGTGTGGCTTCACAGCAATAGAAATCAAAATACTAATGGGCTATTCTATAGAGCTAAATAAACTCCTAACAGCTAGGTGGTGTAGATAGGGCGACAGACTTTGAGTTGGGAACATTCGAGTTCAACTCCCACCTTAGACAGTTCCTGCAGCATGACCTTGGCCAAGTCACTTACTTCTTTCAGCCTCAGTTTCCTCAACTGGGTTGTTATAAGGACTGAATGAGATAATAGCTGTAAAAGTACTTCCTTAAAGCACCATATAAACTGTCATCTATAATTGCACGGACAATCAAAAGGAACTTTGCTTAAAAAGTTAAGGGAGGACAATGTACTCTGTCTGACTTTATAATATGCCACAAAACAGTAATTACCAAAACTGAAATTGGTCAAGAAGCAGAAAAGTAGATAAATGGAACAAAGGAGCAATTCTAAAAATATTAACATCTTTTGTGTTCATGCATGTCCAACAATGAAAAGAACAAAATAATCAAAACAAAAAGAAAAGCGATATATTGGAAAGCTTTCTAACCCCAGTGCTCAGCAAAGAGCCCAGTGCCTAGTAGTTGCTAATTAAATGCATGTTATTTGATAATTGACAAAAGTCTGACATCCAGAATCTCTATGGAATTGATACACATTTATAAGAGACTCAGGCAGTCTCTAAAGGGTAAAGGATATGAATACACAATGTACAAAAGATGGAACACAAATTACATCTAGTAACCTAAAAATTATTCGAGCCTTCTAATAACTAAATACAAATGAAACCCTCATAGTTAGTAAAACTAAGAGGGACAAAACAGATGCACTCATACATTGTTGGTGGAATTGTAAATTGGTGCAATCTTTTGCAGAGTATTCTGGCAACAACTCCAGAATCGATCATATTCTCTGACCCCATGATCCCATTTCTGGAAAGCAATTAAAAGAAAACAAGACTGAACTGAACAAAAGCTTTTTCATTTGGGGCAGTGAAAAGGTTGGAAACAACATGTTCAATAGTTGTGAAAAAGGCTGAACTAATTGTGGTCATGTAATAGGATATCTATGACAGATTAGGAATATACAGAAATATGGAAAGATTATTTACATATGGCACATTGAAGGAAGATCTAGAAGAGCAACCCATATACACTGATTACATTGGCAGATGTAAAGGGACAAGAAGATCGGAAAGAGACAAAATTGGATAAATTGTTAAAAATATTTTTATTATAAATGGTTTTGACCATATGGTTTTATTAGGAACTTTAAGAGATTTTCTTCTTTGTTTTGTTGAGGTTAAATTTAAAATATTTCCTTCTACCCCCACTCCAATTGTGGCAGCCCTACCTACTAGGTTTTATAATAGCCTAACCTTTGACCCTGGTGCCATTGAATCAGATTAATTATTTCTAGTCTTCAGAAGATATGGGTGGAAGTTATAAGAGCAGATTTTTGGGTGAAGTGACACGGTGGGTAAAGCACTGGGCCTGGAGTCAGGAAGACCTGAGTTCAAATCTGGCCTTAGACACTAGCTGTATGACCCTAGGCAAATCACTTATTCCCTCTTGTAAAATGGAGATAATTAATAATAATAATAATAATAATAATAATAATAATAATAAGCATTTATATAGTCTTACTAGGCAGAGGACACTGTGCTAACCTAATATTTAAAAATATTATCTCATTTGACAAATATTTCATTAATAACACCTATTTTGCAACATTGTTGTGAGGATCAGATGAAATATTTGTGAAGCACTTGGCATAGTAGGTGCTATAGAAATGCTTATTTCCCTTTCTTTCCCTTTCATGTAAGGAAAGACTTGCTAATAATAATTAATTAATAATAATTAGACCTATCCACGAGTGGAATGGGTTACCTCAACATTTGGGGCTTTGATGGCTGTTTGTCGATTGTGGTGTAGAGGGAATTCTTGTGCAAGTATGGGTTGGCCAGAATAGGTTCAGATTCCTACCAACACTGAGATTGATCCTGTGGGTAGATTGGGGCATGAAATCAATCCATATTGGGTGGAAACACTGTTTGTGTATGACCTATTGAATCAAAGCACAAAGACTAAAATTTCTTGAAATATCATCTGGTAAAGGGATAACAAGTTTCTTTCTCAATCTTCCCTTCCTGACCCCCCCACCCCCAAATATATGGAATAATATGGAATAATATACTTATCAAAATCCGGAAAATTTTGCTACCTCAGGGCACTCATTGTGTTTGGAGTATTGGGTTTTAAACTGAACCATCAAGTCAAGGAAAATGTCTCAAATCCAGGAGTTCTGGTAGTGGGGATGTTGCCCATGAGCCCCAAGAAACCATTACTTGAGATCTCATCTTCCAAAAAAAATTACAGATGTGCATTATAAACAACACAGTAGAAAGCATGGCACAGTGGAACAGTCAGTGCTTTAGGAATTAGGAGTCCCCATGTATGGGCATATTGTCACATTGTCTCCCCCAGTAGAATGGGATTGCTTCATTTTGTCTTCGTATCCCCAGTGCCTAGGACAGTGCCTGGCACTTAGTGGGTATTTAATAAATACTTGTTGACTGCTTGACCCAGGGCAGATAAGTCACCTATCCTCTCTGGGTCTCAGTTTCTTCATCTGTAAAATGAGTAGGGGTTAGATGAGATGATTTCTAAGGCTCTTTCCCAGTACTAACATTTAGGAGTACAAATTAATGAGTCTTTCTGAATGTAGAACCCATGGCTAGGAATAGAGTACGCGCTAGAATCTTTCTAATGAAAGAATGAACTTTGGCATTTCCCAAAAAAATTGAAAAAATATAATTGACTAGAATTGACTTCAAAGATTTAATAACTCTTCCTGGGGAAACAGGGAGATACAGCTTTTTGTAAAAATTATATGAAAAAATTCAAACCTGTGGTAATGTAAAGGCCGAGGACATTTACATGTCCGTGAATTTTACATGCATTCATTATCACCTCTAACATGTCCAGAGCTCAGAGATTTCATCCCAAAGCATAAATATTTAAATTGCACAATTGTTTTTTAAGGTTCTATTTGACATACAGGATTTCCAGGCAAATACCAGTTGGATAGAAAGTAACACATCTGGATTGACAGAGTGGCACTGATGATGTAATAGCATTAATAAGCAAGGGAGAGAGTTAACTGACTTTATCAGACCAATACCTATTTGTATGAAAGGCTGAGTTTCTTTGGCTCTTTTTGCGTTCACGTTAGTTGACTGCCTAGCTAAGATTAAATTTACACACCACACATCAATTTTTCAATAAAGTCTTACTGTGTCTACAGTGTCTTACAAGTTGACTTAGTTCTTAGTCCATAGCAAATTGGCCACTGGTAGAAATATACAGTATATACACATGGAGATTATAAAAATACATTTTATTTATATCTGATTTTTTTTAAATAACAAAAAACACTAACATTTTGAAAAATCAACCAGTTTACCAAAAGGTTCCTCGTTATTCTATGTGGTCTGACCAAGATAGATATTTGAAGATTCTACCACCCATTCATTATCTCTGGTATCATCTGGGATGGGTTCTTTGTCTTTGAAACAAAAAAATTGCTCAGTTTTAAAAGACTGTGTGTGCTTTGTTAGTCTGAACCTTTCTTTCCTGTTCTCTCAGATTTTAGACATGGCCCCCAAGCTGACCCAACTTTAACTTTTCATCTCAGTTAAAGACCAAAGAAACTCATGCAGAGAATGAGGTGATCAGATCAGATAAAGAACATATATATGGCTGTAGCTGAATGGATTGCAGGGTGAAGGGAGGCCATTAGCACAGAATTCAACAGATGTCAAGTACATCCATCCCCAACACTGGGGACCTCTGCTACTGAAGCTGCTTTCTCAATGAAGGAACCCAGAGTATTGCCCATGGTCAAGATGTTACTTTATTTGATTTGACGTGGGGAAAATGAATTCTGGACACGTTCAGTAGCTCACGGGGATGATGTGTCCCTTACAATGAGCTGAAGAGGTCAGATTCCCTACCAGTGGTGAAAGGGGATTATTAACATTAAGCACACCATGGTCAGCAGTCTGTAATTTTAGTAAATACCAGCCCCTTCCCCCCAACTCCTTGCTTCCACCGAACAAGATGATTTGGTTAAATTCATACGCTTGTTTTCATTGCTTTACATTGGACATAAGTCAACAGGTTGCCCATATTCCAAAGTTTCTACAAACATCGGCTGGGAATTTGAAAGTCTGCAGATTCACATATCCCGTTTTGAACAGACATCAATCAGAGTTTTATTTTGAGACACCTGGCAGCATTTACTGAACAGCATTGTTCAAGAGAGCTGGAAAGCTTTATGATAAACAGAGGTTTCCTTGTGAAAGTAGATGTACCTATTATTCCAGGAGAGAGAGAGAAAGAGAAACAGAGAGAGATGGTTGGTTCTCAGGCTACTTTCAATGTAGGGCAAAGAAAACAGACTCAAATAACCATTTTTCATTTACAGAATTCCCAAAAGCACTTTGCAGCAATTCTCTCTTCTTCTTCTTCTTTTTTTTTTTTTGTTAGGTCTTCAGCACAACTCACAATGCATTCTATTCTCCAAAGGCCAACACTTTTTCAGATGCTCAACAGGGGCCTTTAAGAATTTGGCAAACACCAATTAAGCCGCCACAATCAATCTCCTCTCCCATCTTCTCTGCTTTCGGGCCATTGTACGCTTAATGAGAAACCAAGTCGGGACTATTTACAAGGGCAATTGTTTGGGGAGAACCAGAAACATAAATTTCACTTGGCCTTGAGCATGAGCTTGAAATAAAAAGGGCTGAAGTTACTTGATTGGATTCGGTTTCCCTTATCCCAAGTTCAGAGATGATTTTATTTTATTTTATTTTTCGTTTAAATTTTGCTATTGTTCCAATGAGAAAGAATGCAGTCTGGCGTTTGTCCTCACCTTTTTATCACAGAAATACAGATTGAGCATGCAGAGGTCATGGTAGTCATGTCTGGATTTTGTCCTCTCTCTGGTTACTTATGAAATATGGCATTGAAGAGCAATCTATCAAATAGCATCTCTCATGCCTAAGGCTTCTCAGGACATACAATCATATTCCATGGATTTAATGTATCAGCGTATCAAACACACAGTCGCCAGGCAAGACAACCTTGACTGGCCAGCCTAATAGACAGGTCAAGTACTTTGCTATTCAAGGAGTTGCTCCACTTAGCAGAAACCCCAGAGTTCAACTTTCCAGGAAGTGATGGGTAAGACAGAAATCCACCCTCTCTCCCAAGTCCCAACAAACAAACCAAAGACACATTTCCTTGTCTCTTTGTAGGCTTCATGGTTTGGAGTTCAATGGCTACAAGAGTGGAGAACTCCTAAGTGTTAGACCTGGAATTCAAACATGTCTGTTTGTTTCTTGGCCAGTTTAGCGACCTCTTCCCGAATAGCCTTCACCAGGGCTGCTGTGGAAATGTTGGTCAGCGGAGTGTCAGAAGTATCATTCTCTGCCAGGCTCTGCTGAGATGCTGCCGTGGAGGCCAGGGGGGCCTGTTCCAGACTTGGGTGCATGTTGGTGGGCTGACTGTACTGCCGGGGGAGTCTCGAAGGGGATGTCTGTTGGTAGCGTGACCGGGGATATGCCTCTATGTAACCTGGGAGTGGAACCTAGATGAGAGAGCAGGATAAGACGTTACCAAGGTGAATTTTTATACCCATAGAAATCTAAATGAATTGACATGATCTGGAAATAGGTTGTTTGAGTTAAATGGATTTCTCAATTGTTTTAGATTAAGCTTGTGTGGACAATATTTGTAAAATGCCATGTTACAATAAAAATGAGCATAAATCACTCCATTTTGCTTTTATCCACCCTTTTTTTGTGAAGCTAAGTTTCAGATGCTTGTAAGTCACCCGATTTTAAGTCACAAAGTTACTCCCCCCTCCCAAAGGTCACCCTACTTAAGGAATGTCACAAAACTAATTCCTCTCCCTCTCACCTCAGTATCTCCAGACCCCACCTTCCATAGTGAGAAACCAGATGTCACAATCCCTATAGTCCTGTTTTTCCTGTTTTTTTCTTCCTCCAAATTGTATATTAACTATGGGAAACCAAGCTTCTGGGTCCTTGGCTATGGAGAGCCTTGGACCTGGTTTGTTTTGCAACTGCATGCATTGCCAAATCAATCACTGCCTTGGATGTAATTAATCACTCAGTTTCTTTACACCATTGTGACACTTTGCAAGGCCCATGGTTCTGAGTTCAATGGCTCCAAGAATCTGCAAATTTTCCTGCCTTAGTAAGTATAATGAATGTAAATGGTAAATGTAAAAGGTAAAAGGTAAATTCAATTCAATTAGGCAAAAATTCATTAAACATTTGATGTGTACTAAGCACTATAGGAGGGTAGGATAGGGAAGAAGAAAGATAGAACAACTCAAATGTCTATCAACTTGAGGTGGTGAAAGTATTATTCTGTGAGTTTTATGGTTTTGCAGTTGAGAAAACTGAGGCTCAGAGTAGTTAAATGCTCATCTGATTATGCACTTAGTAAGTGACAAAGCTCCAAGTCTAGTCCTCTTTCATACAGCCCCAGACTAATGACTTTATGAACCCTGTGAGATGAGTTGGACATTAGGAAGTATGTGAAGGGTTTTCCCCTCTTTGTACTAAATAGGCTGAGACCATGACTGGAGATGGGATACCTGGATGGCCCAGTGATTTAATTATAAAAGACAGCTTCTACAGTGTTCCTGAGACTCAGTCTTCTTATTTGTCATAAACCAGCTGAATCTTTAGAAATATCCCACCTCCATGCCTTTGCTCACAGTTCTTCCCTCCACCTGGAATGCTCTTCCCCTCCAGCTCACTATCAAGATTTTCCAGTAGACGCTGGATAGGCAAATTTTTTCACCTTGGTCTGCCTCCATTTCCTCATTGGTAAAGTGGGCACAATAATAGCACCTATCTCCCAGGATCGTTGTGGGGATCAAATGAGATAACCCAACCCCATCTTAAATGTTAGCTATTATCATTAGTATTATTTGGTGTTTTAGGGTTTGTATTTTTTTTTAACAGTTAAACATGTTTCATTGATGCCTGTTGTATTTACATCTCAGTCATTTGTGAAGGAAAAACAAAATGAAACGTCCAGTTCCAGATTGAACCCTTCCTTGTAATAACAATTTAAACAATTAGGGGCAGCTAGGTGGTGCAATGGACAGAGCACCAGCTCTGGAATCAGGAGGACCTGAGTTCAAATCTGGCCTCAGACACTTGATACTTACTAGCTGTGTGACCCTGGGCAAGTCACTTAACCCCAACTGCCTCACCCCCCAAAAAAGAGAGAACCAATTAAGCAAAAACATCCAATAGAGTGACCACATCGGAAGATGTCTGTGCTGGTCCATTACATCCTGGTTCTCTCCTGTCTTTTTATCATGAAGGAGTTACGTGTTGTGAGTTGTTCTTTGGGACCTTTGTTAGTTTTTCAATTATTTTGAATTTGGTCTACCTGTAGTGATCTTTTCATGTACAATGTAGTCATTGACACCTTATGTGACAGTGGAGCTTCTGTTCAGAGGATGTTAAGGCCTCCTCTCTCCCCCCAAATCACTTTCTATTTACTTTATACACAGTCTATATTTGTACATTTGTGTACATGTTGTTTTCTCTCGGTAGAATGTAAGCTCCTTGAGGGCAGGGACTATTTCATTCTTGTTTTCATTATCTTCAGTCTTGTTTTTTTTTTGTCCAGATTCTGACTGGATTGTCCAGATTGACTGGATTCTAGCTGCCTAGAGGGGAAAATCCTACCCATGTAGATCTGCTACTGCAACTTGTATTCTTAGAGAGAATGCCTGGGGCCAATGAGATGACCTGCCCAGGGTCATACAGCCGGCAGGTGTCAGAAGTGCTTCTTGAATCCAGATCACCCTGATTCTGAGTCCAGTTCTCTACCCACTGTGCCACAGTGTCTCTTGCCTGGTACATAGTAGGTATTTAATGCTTACTAACTTGAATGGAATTGAATGTCTCATCTCTTCAATGTTGTGAGGACAGAAAAAAGTGCTTTATTTTTCTTTGTGGTTCCCTCAGCGCCCCACATACAGCAGATGCTCAAAAAGGCATGTCGAATCCAACTAAAACAGCTAGTCATTGGCTGACATGTAGACCAAATATCCAGATGATGGCCCGAGTCTGTCACCGGATACTTGGATGTGTAGATACAACCATAGTGTCTAATAAATCTTCAGTTGTGACCTGGCCTCATTTACTTTCTTTTTAATACTACCCACAGTAGCTTAGACAGAAAATTAAAAAAAAAAAACCAACTTCCTACAAGCTACCCTGCTAATAGGCACTGTTCACTAGGTAATTGGATGTGGTAATTGTGCTCCAGGAAAGAGCCTTCTTAAACTAGAATAATCATCTTCCACTTAATTAAAAACAATGAAAAAGGACACTGGCTCATTTTCAGCTGGAGAAGGACAGACCCAGAGTGGTGGATTCAGCCAATCAAAACAACGAAGCTGGGGTTTTCCACAGGGTCTGGCTCTCAATACAAAAGTATGCTGTCATTATCAAGCGAAGGACATCTGCATGCAACTCTCATGCCACCTAGGACCCTTGCAAATAAATATAAATGCGTGCTATTATTGTTATCAACCAACTGATCAATAAACATTGAGCATCTACTATGTACAGGGACTGTACTAGGCACTGGGGATAGAAAAGAAAAGAAGGGCAGCATCTCTACTTGTGAGGAGGGAATTTACATTGTGATGGGTAAAGTACTTTATAAATCTTAAAATACCAGGTAAATGTGAGCTATTATTGTTGCTGTTGTTTTACACAGAAAAGGTTTGTTTTCCAGAGATATGAAGGTTGGATTGGACTGGGGAAGAGGAGGTGGAGCGTTCACTCTGAAGGAGACTGGGATAGCTTAGGCAGGGGGTCATGATGGTCTAAGTTAGGGCAGGTACCTAGGAAAAGAGAGAGGACTAGTTAGGACAGATGTTGTGGGACGGGAATTGACAGGTCTTGGCAGATGAACAGGTATAATAATAATAACAATAACAACAATAATCATAGCTACCATTTATATAGTGCGTTATAGCCAAGTGCTTTAGATAACATTTTCACAACAACCCTTCCAGTGAAGTAGGTGCTGTTATCATCCCTATGTAACCTTATTGAGAAGCTAGACAACACTATGGATAGAGTGCCAGATCTGGAGTCAGGAAGACCTGAGTTCAAATCCAGCCTCAGACACTCACTAGCTGTGTGACTCTAGGCAAGTCATTTAACCTTGGTTTGCTTCAGTTTCCTCATCTGTAAAATGGGGATAATAATAGCGCCACTTCATAGGGTTGTTGCAAAGATCCAATGAAATAGTAATTGTAAAGCACTTAGCACAGTGCCTGGCATGTGGTAAATGCTATATAAATGTTAGGTATTGTTATCAATTGCTATTTCATAGATAAGGCAACAGATGATATAAGAGAAGTGAGGGGAAGGGGAGAATCCAAGACTGATCTTTAGGTTTCCATCATGGGAGAGGGTGAATGGTGGTACCATAGACAGAAGCAGGGATGTCATGAAAAGGAGGAGAAATAGATTTAGGAGAAAGAGAAGAAGTTCCATTTCAGGAAAATGAGGTCAACAAGCAGCACAGTCTGCAGCAGGGGGCAGCAGTGATAGGAGGGGAAGGGTTAATCTCCTTCACCCTGGGGTAAACGTTTTCCAGAGTCCTTGGCCTGAGTATGATAGCAGCTAGCCCCAGACCCTTACTCCTGACGGATGTTCCTTCCTATCTCATTGAATTGCTACATTGGCCTTTGATTTTAATTTTCATCCCCATCTCTGGGTCACAGACTCACAGAATTTCAGAGCTGTTAGGAAACTAGTCTAACCCATGCAAGAAAATGAATTCCCCCTGCAACATGCCTGATTGTTCACTCGGCATTTGCTTAAAGGTCTTTAGTGAAATGGACCCCATTACCTTCTGAGCCAGCCCATTCCTGTCAGCTCTACTGGTCAGGAAGTCAGGACGCTGTGGGAGTCCTGCATTCTCACCCAGCAAGTTGCAAAGATATGTCCCTTTGTCACTGGCCTTTTGGATTAACCCATTTTGGCTGACTCACTGTTGACCTTTTTAGGACAGAGAAACATCCTTGCCCCTCCCCTGGCCCAAATAGGTCCTGGTCCTATGGGGCTGAGCACCAGATGTCTCAGCTAGAACTCTTGGGATTCAGTATCATGCTACACATTCCACCGGACAGAATGGGATGGTGGTTAGTAAAAGAGTTATTTTCCCACAAGTTCAGTGGAAAGAGCTCTGGGCTTGAGATCAAAAGATTTGGATTTGAATCCTGGGTGTACAACTCACCGGTTGTATGATCTTGGGTAAACTGCTTAACCTTTCTAGGGCTCAGCCTTCATCATCCTTCAAATACAGGTAATCATGCCTGCCATTTAGATGTCACTGACTTGAAACATTTATTAAGTACCTACCGTGTAGCACGAACTGTGCTAAGAGATACAAAAAGAGGCAAAAGATAGTCCCTGCCCTCAAGGAACTCATAATCCAATGGGAGGGGACAACATGCACACAAATATATACAAAGTAAGCTATATGCAGGATAAATAGGAAATAATAAACAGAACTAAAAGATGGATCACATCTCATGAGGAGGCCCTGATTTGAGGCATTAAAAAGCCATATCAGAACACAAGGTGTCCTAGACTGAAGACACCAAGTACAGCAAAGAAAACAGAGAAGTCAGCAAGAGAAATTGCTTATACACAGAAGAGACCACAGAAGCTTATGGTGTGGAGATGCTGATAGAAGCTGAGCCCAGTAGACAGCTCTGCTGTTGATGTGGGGAGCTGATCTGATTGAAAAAATGTTCTACTGTTTAGAAGGGTTGACTGGAAGAAAGGAGAATTCTTTGCTATAGGTGAAGAACTGGCTGGGGAAAAGACCACTTGCTCTCTAGTACTGTTTACAGCTTGAGGGGGGGAAACTCCTCAAAAGTTTGCCCATGTTGCCCACTACTTTAATCTATAGCTTGAGATGGAAAACCCCTCAAAGCCAACAAAGAGCAAGATCAGAATAGCTTTACTAACCCCACGATTAAAGGGAACTGCTTTTCATCGAAAATACTTAGACAAGGGAGCAGACTTGGGAAGCTCTACAAAGACCAGGTTTTAGGGTGACATTAAATAAAAAGAGCTGAATATAACATTAAGTAGTCTAAAAGCAGCAAAGAAAGAGGCTTTGTCCAAAAGATAATTTGTGGTTAAGGCTGTTCTCTGAAGAGACCACAGACATTGAGGTATGCAGACCAGAGTAATGAGGTGCCCAAAGTATACGAGTTTCCCTACTCATGTGCCTTACTTCTAAGTTTTTGTAAGTTTATGCCCACTCTCCAACCAAGGATACTATATGTATTGGTGAAAGTGTGATCCACGTATATGGTTTTAATGTTATATTTTGATTATGCCTTATTTTTGCCTTTCATTTAATACATATTGTGACTAATTTTTGCTTTTGCCTTCTCACTTAGTATATGTTTCATGTTTAAGAGTTAATGTCATCTTTTAGAGGGGGGAAAGAGTAAATGGTATCTCTGTGACTAACGAGTATAAATGGGAAGCACACCAGTGGGGGCTTACAAGCTTTAGTAATGAGTGCAGACATGGAAATGAAGTTTAATTCTAGGATCCTGAGAATGGATTGTATCAACAAGGAATCCATGATAATCCTACCCCCCCCACACACTAGAAAGACAACCTTACCCCCAAGACACAACAGTGTAAAGGCCTATGGATAAGTGAGTTAACCCAAAGAAAGACAAGGATATAAATATGATGTTAAATACCACACTCTGTGGGCTACGTATTTGTCCTATGTATACTTCTATACATATGTGTTGTCTCTCTCATTAGAATGTAAGCTGCTTTAGTCAGAGATACCAGGGACTGCTTGTATGAACTCATACAGAGTGAAATAAGGAGAATCAGGAGAACAATTTATACGACAACAATATTGTAAATACGAACAACTTTGAAAGACTTAGGAATGCTGATCAGTCCAATGATCAATCACAATTCCAGAGGACAAATGACAAAGTATGCCACCCACTACTTGAGAAAGTGGCTGAGGGACTCAGAATGCAGAATGAGATATATGTATCTATGTATGCATATATGTGTAGATATGTATATGTACACACACATATTAAAATATGTCTATATTTGTTTTGCTTGAATTCACATCTGTCACAGAGGTTTTTGTTTTTCTTGCTTTCTCACTGGAGAAGGCAATGGGGGAGAAAGAAGAATTTTCATTGGAAAAAATAATTCAAGGGGCCAGTAGGTGGCATAATGGATAGAGCACTGGCCCTGAAGTCAGGAGGACCTGAGTTCAAATCCAGACTCAGACCAAACACTTGACACTTACCAGCTGTGTGACCCTGGACAAGTCACTTAACCCCAATTGCCTTTTAAAAAAAAAAGAATGCATCAGAGTTTTGGGGCAGCTAGGTGGTGCAGTGGATAGAGCTCTGGTCTTGGAGTCAGGAGGACCTGAGTTCAAATCCAGCCTCTTGACACTAGACACTTAATACCTGTGTGACCCTGGGCAAGTCACTTAACCCCGACTGCCTAACCAAAAAAGCAAAAAAAAATTTATTTAAAAAAAAGAATAGGGGCAGCTGGGTGGTACAGTGAATAGAGCTCTGGCCTTGGAGTCAGGAGAACCTGAGTTCAAATTCAGCCTCAGACACTTGACACTTACTAGCTGTGTGACCCTGGGCAAATCACTTAACCCCATTGCCTAGCCAAAAAAAAAAAAAAGAATGTGAACTCCTGAGAGATTGTTTCATTCTTTGTACTTGTATCCCCAGTGGACAGTATAGCATCTGGCATGTACCAGTTACTCAGTAATTGTTTGTTAGTTGATTGACTAACCACGTTAAGTAAACTAGATTCCTGCCCTTAGAAAATAGATAATGAAAGACTGGAAACTCTGATGAGAACACGTATAAAAGGCCCACAGCCAGACGACTGAGCACTGAACTAATGAAATCCATGAGCGTAAAACTTGCTGAGAGGGTAATGGAGGACTCACAGTGGACAGATGATTTTGGCCTACTGCCAACAGCAATATTGGAGGACTAATTTATCTGGTGATCTCAACCATGTAGGATGCCGTTGAGATCTAGGAGGTACATTTAAAAAACCTCTGAGTGGTAAAATGATGCAAAGCCTATGTAGTTTACTCATAGGGAAGGTCCTCTGCGCCTCACTCAGTGTCTATTTACTTTTATTTTAGGAACAAATCTAACAAGTCTGTTTAGAAGTGGGGCATGTAAAGGAATGATACACTAAGAACTATAATAAGTAACTGCTGATAGGAAGAAGAGAGCAAAATTCTGAGAAAAAAGACATAAGAAGACAAAAAAGAGTAGCAGTCTATAAACCCTGGCATAGGGGCAAATTGCTCTAGGTACCTCTATAGGCACTGGGGGCATTACTGCATAGCCAGGAGGGTTATTGGAGTTCAATTTTCTCCTCCTCCCTCTTCCTCCCTTCTGCTCCATTTCCTTCATCATCATCACTTACATTAATCTAGTGTTTTCCAAGGTTTGCAAAACATTTTACATCTCATTTGCTATTATTTTACTTATGATTATTTATGCTATATTTTATATGTTTATTTTATTTGATCCTTACAAAACCCTCTGGTACTATTATCATACTATAATTCTACCATAATATAGTATCATATGAGGAAGCTAGGTAGATTGGGCGCTATACTTGGAATTAGTAAAATCTGAGTTCACATTCAGCCTCAGCCACTTACTATGTAGCCCTGGGCAAGTCACTTGACTTTTATCTGTAAAATGGGGGTGATAATAGCACCTAAATCCCAAGGATGTTAAGGGGATAAATAAGGCTATGTGTATAAAATGCTATATAAATGCGAACTACTGGGGCAGCTAGGTGGCTCAGTAGATAGAGCTCCGGCCTTGGAGTCAGGAGGAGTTGAGTTCAGATCTGGCTTTAGACACTTGAAACTTACTAGCTGTGTGACTCTGGGCAAGTCACTTAACCCTGATCGCCTCACCAAAAAAAAAAAAAATAACAAAAAAATGTGAACTACTACTACTGCTACTGCTGCTACCACTACTACCACTACTACTCTATTACTACCACCACCATCACCACCACTACCACTATCACTGCTACTATTACCACTATTACTACTACCACCACCTCCACCACTATCACTATTACCACTAATCCTGTTACCAATACTATTATATCTCATTTAACAGAGGAAGAGATTGAGGCTTAGAGAGATTACATGATTTATTTGTGCAAGGTCACAAGGCAAATACCAGGAGTCACATGCTTGACATTCATCCCTCTGCTTTATCTCTCCCAGACTACGGAGCAGAAAGCTGGTGAAGTCTTGCAACGGACAAGAGGAAGTTCTTACCGAATCTGCCCACTGCCCTGGTAACTCGTTCTCTCCTGCATACGACATCCAGGCCTGGTTCCGGTAGGACGAGGGTGGTGTGGGGATGAAGTAGCCCGTGAATCCGGGTCTGTTTGCAGCTGGAATGGCAAACACAGCTGGGACTGTGCTTCCTGCCACAGATCAGAGGGATTAGGAATGAACTGTCTAGAAGATTCCATTATTTTCACGAATAATAACATAACAGGGGCGATCTTGCCTTTGGGCACCACCTGCTTCCGAAAAGCTTAGGTCAACTGGCAATTTGTCATTAAAAATGATTATAAACTTAATACTCTCAGCTAAGACGAACAGAATGTGAAACAAAACTATAAAATCTAAATTACCTATATTTTTATTAAAAGAAAAGGAAAACATAGACATCAATAAAATAAAGAGGAGGTAGCGGGGTGTAGTGGTTAGAGAGTTGGCCTAGGAGTTAGGAAGACCTGGATTTGAGTGTTGCCTCTGTCATGTACTGGCTGTGTCACTTAACCCCTAAATATCCCAGATAACTTTCTAAGACTATAAATTGTAAAGGAGGTGCTGATCTGTATTGGCAGAGTTTTCTATACTAAAGAAGTCTCAGTTCTTACCAAAACACCACACCGCAAAATAACAATAATAATTTGCTCGCTCTCTCTCTTTCTGGCTACTTCTGATCTCTTTTCTGCATTTTAACTTATTACTGTATGTTCTTATTGTGTTTGTCTCTCTGCTACATTCCTCCCCCATGGTCACTTTTCTTCATTCTTTCCCTCCTAAGTTTCTCCACTCCAATCCATCCTCTGCCAAGCCTCCAAAGTGATTTTCCCAAAGCAAGAGTCTCATCCCTGCTCGATAAATTCCAGTGGCTCCCTATTCCCTTCAAGATCAAACATAAAGTCCTCTGGCCTTCAAAGCTCTTTACAATCTTGCCTCATCCTACCTTTTCAGTCTTCTCCAGTCATCCTGGCTGTTCCTCTCTCAGGACATTTGACCTCTAGCCTCCATGCCTTTTCACTGGCTGTGCCCCACGTCTGGAATATTCTCCTTTATTCCTGACTCTCAGAATCCCTGGCTTCCTTCAAGACCCAGTGCAAATGCCACCTTTTGCAAGGGGCCTTTCCTAGATACTTCCCCTGCCTGCCAGCTGCTGGTACCTTTCCCTCTGTTACCTTTCATCTGTCTCTTTAATTAGAGTGTAAGCTCTTTGAGGACAGGAACTGTTTTTGACTTTATTTTTATTCCCAGTGCTTAGCACAGTGACAGACACATAGAAAGCATTTAATAAATGTTTGTGGATTGATTTCATAATATAAAATATGATATATAAATAAAATATAAAATCTAGTTTATAACATCTAAAACACAATAAAAATAAAGATAAACAAGGTTTGTGATCGTCTACAAACTTAAAAGCATTTGAGCTAGTTTTGAGTGGCTCTCAGTCTCTTGCCCTATTGATTATGATTCCTGAAGTTGTTCTGAGGCTCAGAAAGTATTCCTTTCTGTTACTTAGCACAGGCACGATGGGGGTGGCGGAGAATATGCTAACTGGAAGAGGGTTGTGATGTGGCGGAGCTAAATCTAATCCTCTGAGATAGAAGTGGCTGCTGGGTCTACCTGGGCGTAGCCTGCCTTGGTGGGGTAAAAATCCACCTCTTGGTTTTCTTACCTGAGTAATTTAAAGCAGACTGGTCCAATGGAGAGACAGAGACTGGTCCTCTGGAAACCTGGGCAAAGGGGGTGCTGTCATGCAGTTGTGCTGGCTCTGGGCCGCTGGACTCAGACATTCTCGTCTTGCTGCCAATATCAGAAGTGGACCTGGGTGGAGGCAAACAGGGTGTTAATTAGGGTTTCCAAGGGAACGGCTGTCAGCGAGTCTCCATGGAGCTCAGCCAGAGGATGGCAGCCTAAGCACAGGGAAAGGTGGGTTGAGGGCCGACTACAGTGGGGTGGGAGGGAGGTGGTATTCAGGTTCAAAGAAATACTGGCAGAGTCACCTTCCTCGGCTTCCTGGCTGCTCTCCCTGATGGGATTGGGTTACACTTTTGTGAGTACTTTGTCCCCTGAGCTCCCAAGCAGGTCACAATGGCTGAATTTACAAAATAAAATAAAAGAGACCTTGTGTTTTCAAACACGGCCATGGAGGTATAACCTTACAGCAAAATCCTTAGAACTAGGCTGAGGCCCAAGACTGGTTGATTTTGAGATATTCAAGTTCAATTCTCCCCTAAGGGTGACTCAGGTGTCTTGCTAGTTATCAAAAAATTCAATTTTCACATAAAAAATGCACAAAGCAATTAGTGCCCTGCATTAACTGGGGATGCTTGACATAGGTGCCAATGACATCATTGGCAGCCAATGAGCACGCTCCATTTGGAATGAGTGTTCTAACCCTCCCTCCTCTCTCCTCCCCCCGAGTCCCCCCCCACATGCACATACACCTTTTTCAATAGAACGGTGTGATGCTTTGAAGACAAGAGCCTGAACTGGGATTAGCCAGGACCTTACATTGTACCCTGGAGCACAGGCTGAGATGTAGGAGGCTCCCAGCACCTGTGAAGTAAGATAATGGCCCCAAAGCCCTGGCTAAGGAGGCAGGCCTGCCAAGGCTGCTGTGGTGCATTACGACTGATGCTGAGAAATGAGGAAATGCAGCCTGGCATAGCGACTGCGCACCGTGGACGCTGGGATGGATGCTTTTAGAGGCAGCCGCAGAGCCCGGCAGAGGCACTCACATTTCCCAATGCATTTAACATGTCACCCTTCCACTTAGTGCTCACAAAGCCCCAACTGCTCCAGGAGGAGACTGCTGGTGGAGGACAGTGGGATGTGGGGAGGGGGCTAAGGTGCTCCCCACGCCCGCCTCGCTGGTACATTCTTCCACAGTTTCTCAGTGACTGTCCCTGGCTGGATCCCCACTTGGCACCCACTGCCTTTTATGTCAGCTAGTCCTCAAATTAATGTTGCCTTACAAATCAAGGCATGAAGGACTTAAAGTTGGTGACAGAACCCTGTGCCCCCTACATCCAAGACCATGCAGTTTTGCTCCTTGACCTCAGTGGAAGAGTGTTTTTTAAGAATGAAGAAGGAAGTGGGAAGGAGGGACAGATGCCAAAACCATGTCCTACACATGGCAATACAGAAAAGGAGAATATTGGAGAAACATCCCTGGAAGCCCCTGAGTACAAAGATGTACAAAGATGCCTCCCATAACCTCCAGGATCAAATCTAGACTCTTCTGTTTGATTTTTAAAGACCACCCCAACTCGGGCCCCTTCCTCCCTTTCTTACACTTTCCTCCCCTACATGAGCTCAGCAATCTACCTACACAGGGCTACCTGCTGCTCTTTGTACGACACTGTGCCTTTGTACTGGCCATCCCCCAAGCCTGTAGTATCTCCCTCCTCTTTCTGCCTACCATGCATTTATATGATATGTCCAGTATATGGGAGGCAAACTCCAAGGGACGACACTAGTAACATGGAAGACCAGGAAAGGTCTATTGCACAAGGTGGGATTTGAGCTGAATCTTGAAGGTAGCCAGGGATGACTCAGATTGTACCTTCTATAACAGATCTTTTCCAGTTCTCCCCACTACTAGTATTTTCCCTCTAAGATTACCTCCCATTTACAATGAGTATGTCAAATGTGTGTGTGTGTGTGTGTGTGTGTGTGTGTGTGTGTTTTCTCCCTTATTAGAATGTGAACTCAAGGAGCTGACACTAATGACAGAGACCTTATTTTTGCCTTTTTTTTTTTTAGACAATTGGGGTTAAGTGACTTGCCCAGGGTCACACAGCTAGTTAAGTGTCAAGTGTTCGGTCTGAGGCTGGATTTGAACTCAGGTTCTCCTGACTTCAGGGCCGGTGCTCTATCCACTGAGCCACCTAGCTGCCCCCTAGCCTTTCTTTTTCTCTCCATGGCTTAACATAGGGCTTGGCTTAGTAAATAATAAATAATATTATATATTATAATTATGCAATTATAATAATATATAATAATAATAAATAAGTAAGGGCTTAATGACTACTTCTTGATTGACTTATGGGAGGGATGCCCACACCCAGACTTACTCCAGAAATCATCTAGGAATGCAGCCACTTAGGGAAAATCCAGATTCTATGTTTTCCCATTCAATTGGGTTGAAAGGTAGAACTCATTCTTAGTGCAGACGTCCTTACTGTGGCTGCCTCAGAGGACATCTGTTTGGTTATGAGCCTCTGGTCCTCTGTCCTCCCTGACCCCTGCTCTCTGCAGACACTGCACCATTATAATTAATTGTCAGCTCATAAAGCCTTTTGGAATTAGCTTTCCAAGTTCACAGCATCAAAATCAAAATTCTGGAGCTGGGTGGGCCTCCAGAGCTGCTTAGACTAACCTACATGTGTACAAGAATTCCCTCTACCCCACAAGTAACAAATGGTCATCCAGGCTTTAAGGGAAGCCCTTCACTGAGGGGAGAACATAGTATGTCCCGAGGCATCCTGTTCTATTTTGGGATAGCTCAATTGTTAGGAAGCTTTTCCTGACCGAGAGCTGAAATTCGCCTCTTTGCACCTTGTACCCATTGTCCCTACTCCTGTACTTCAGCTCAAGAGAACTGGTCTAATCCATTCTCCACGTGTGTGTCCAGCAATTGAAGATGCTTCTCTCCTAAGTTCCTTCTCCAGGCTGAACATTCTTGGCTCCTTCAATCGCTCCTAACAGGGCAGGAACTGAAGGCTCTTCACCAACCTGGCAGCTTTCCTCTGGACACTCTGTAATTGATCAACGTCCTTTACCAGAAAAATGTACCCAGAATTGAATTAAGGAGAGTGAGTCCTTCTTAGCATCAGAGAATCTCACAAACATCTTAGGGTGTGGAGGCAGCATGTGAAACAGGAAGAAGGCTAGATTTGGAGGGAGAAGAATTGGATTGGAAACCAAGTTCTGCTATTGTTTCCTGTATGACCTGAAACTAGTCATTTAACCTCTCTGGGCCTCAGTTTCCTCAACTGTCAAATATTAGATCGTCTCAAAATCTAGCTCTAAATCCCAAGTCTATGAAATCCTCTAGTACAACAGCCTCATTCGGCAGAATCAGGCCCTTCTGTTGCTACTCTGCTCTGAGGAGGCTGGAGAAACTGAGGCCCAGAGAAGGGGAGGGACTTCAAAGTGATACAGCAAGAGTCAGGACTAAAACCCAAGGCTCTTGATTTTTAATTCAATTCAATAACTGTTTATTATGCCAGGTACTATGCTAAAAGCTCTGGGAATGCAAATTAGAAAAATACTGTGCTTGCCCTCAAAAGCTGACAATCTAATGGGGGAAACACACAAAAGGAAGCTGAAGTGTGTGAGTGTGTGTGTGTGTGTGTGTGTGTGTATAAACTGGGGGTACCCAGCAAAGGATAATGATATTCCATGGATTTGAAACCAAGCTGAGTTGCTTATGGGAAATGGAGAGTCACTTGGAAAGTTCCAAAAGTGCTGAGCTCTCTATAAAGGAAGGCTTGATTACCCTGGGATTGGGATTCAGTGTCCTCCTCACCTAGCCTCCATGAATATATTCCACTGACACCAGTCAGTATGCTTTTGTGGATGGTGTCACATTTTCAGCTTGGGGGAAACAAAGGCAAGGTCCTTTCCAAGGAAGACATATGTCACTTTCCCTCCACTCCTCCCCTCCAACTTGTCTCACAGGACTCAGAATCTGGTATATCCAGCACCGACCTCCTCCTCATCTCCCCCTCCTTTCCTTTTTCTTTCTCTCTCTTATCTTCCTTTTCATCTTTTTCTTGATTCTAGTGTTGTTGTTTAAAAAAAAAAACAAAAGAGAGACGTGAAATGTATTCCATTCCTTTTGTTTTCCCCTTCTGTCAGTACACACTGAGCCCTTTGGACACAGGGCATGTTTTATGTTGTCCAAGAGCCTTCCGGCAAAACCCGTCAGGGAACCAGTTAGAGGCAACTCTTATTTCTTTGTTAGATGACTGATCAAAGTGGGTAGCACCTTACTGCTGCTGCCTGCATGAGCCCAATGAACCTAGATTCTCTAAAAAAGAGCAAAATAAAAATAAATGTAGTGAATTACCGTCTGAGAGAAGCAACAGCCACAGGACCAGTGCGGGGAGGTACCGGGGGTGGAGGAGACCCCATGACCATCTCAGGAAGCTGAGAAAACCTGTAGGCCTGATTGAAAGAAACAAGTAAATGTTCACAAAACCCCCAACACTCCAAACTATTAAAAAAAACCCAAAATCCATGGACCAAAAAAGTCCATATGCATATTACTATATTTGCTCACCTCCTTTAAAATGACTCCAAATCCTAGCTCTTCCACTTACCACCTGTGTGACCTTAGGTAAGTCACTTGATCAATCTCCAACTCAGTTTTCTCATTTGTAAATTGGTAGATGGACTCCAAGGTCTCTTCTAGCTATAAATCTATGATCTCATGATCTTGACCTCAACCTCCCTTTCCAGCCTAATTATTACATGCTCTTTGGTCCAGTCATACTGACTCTTTTGCTGTTTCTCACGTGAAACATTCTATCTCCTATCTCCATGTGTCTCATCCCTACCATGCATGCCCTTCTCCCATCTGTCTCTTAGGAGTCCAGCTCAAGAGCCACCTTCTCTGATCCCGCAGCTGTTAGTACCCCCTGCCCAGAAAAGTGACCATGTATCTATTTTTACATATATTTCTATTTGTACATGTCACAAAATAGCTCTCTGAGGGCAGGGACTGTTTCATTCATGTCTTTGTATTCACAAGCCTTTTACTGAGTTGGCACTTAATATATATACTTGCTGATTAAATGCTTGTTGGCTGATCTTAAATGGAAACACACTTGCCAGGGTCTGGATTTTGACAGCTACTCATTCTCTTCGCCTACACTGGCTGCAGAGTTTTTTCTCTCTTATTTGAGGTTTTTACAAATGGCAGAAGGGAGGGGGGAAGGCAATCAAACACTAACATAATTAAAAAGTCAAATGAATGTTTCACCTAGGGAGAAGGCCAGGAGATGTTGCTTGGGGAGACAGTTGGCTTAACCTCTGAAGCCAGTTCTGGGCTTTCATTTGCTAACTCGGCAGCTTGGAGCCTCCAAGAAGGCATTTTTACCCATGAAGAGAAAAGGCTCCTTAGAATTCCTACAACTTCCTCAGAGCAGATAGCAGCAGAAGGGCCTGATCTGGGAGCAAACTGGTATTTTATGTTCAATTTCTTCCTGGGCTTTCTGACTTTTAGGAGATGTTTCCTTTATTCTGTCCAGGAGGGGAAGGGCCAGGGAGTATCAGTACAAGAGGGAGATATATAACAGGAAGAGAAGATGGGTTGATCATAGGGTATGGGCAAAGGATTATGGGTCTGAGGGGTCAGGGATGGCTTTATAAATCCATCTGTCAAATGAGCTGGAGAAGGAAATGGCAAACCACTCTAGTATCTTTGCCAAGAAAACCCCAAACAGGGCATTAAGAGTCAGACATAGATGAAATGACTAAATAACAACAACAACAAAGAGAAGGCTTCTTGTAGAAGATATGATTTTAGTTGGGACTAAATCTGGAACTGAAGACAGATGGAGATCAATAGGGTTCCTGCTCCCTGGATAAGGTCAGAAGTCAGCTGAAAGATATCCACCTTAGTCCAGCACTGAATCATTAGCATAATAATAGCTAGTATTTATACAGCACTTTAAAGTGTGCAAAACACTTAACATCTCATTTGACCCTCACAGCAGCCTTATGAGGTAGGTGCAATTATTGCTCTCATTTTAAAGATGAGGAAACTGAGGCAAAGAGAGGTTAAGTGGCTTTCCCAGGGTCACACAAGTAGTAAGGCATCTGGGGCTGGATTTGAGCTCAGGTCTTCCAGACTCCAGGTGTCACCTAGCCGCCTCTAGAACTCTATCTCTTTCCAGATTCCACAAACTGTATGCCTTCTCCTTTGAAGTGGTGAAGACTTCATCCAATGTGTCAGAGGAAGATTTCCCCATCAGAGGTGTTGCTTAAGAGCAATATCTGGCATTGCCCACTGGGAACCACAAGAAAAGCCCTAGGTATCAACAAATAGATGTGAGAGGAGAGGCCCCTGTAGGATTCCATGACTAACTCCCATTGCAAGCAACAAAGTATCTCAGGGGTCTCTTTTAGGGTCTGTTGTGTTTTCTTCAATCTTGCAATAAAACTTTGCTTCTTTAATTTTGGCAATTGTGTAGCTACAATGGGGGGGTGGTTTAAAAGAGGTGACAAATAAAGGGAGTCTTGGCAACTGTCTCAAGATCACAGGGCTACTAAGAGGGAGAAAGTGGGCTCTGGAGGCCATCTCCTGATTCCACAGTCAGGGCTCTTTCCACAAGAGTCCACTAGGCTGTGGTGGCTTCTTATATGTAGCACATAAAATGGTCCTGCCTCTGTTTGACATTTAAAGCCTTTCAGAACTTGACCCCCACCTACTGATCTAATCTTCTATGATTAGAAGACACTCCATCTCCTGACTTAGCCACTGCATTGGCTATCCCTTATACCGAGAATGCTTTCCCTCCTCGTCTACACCCCTTTGCTTCCCTGATTTCCTTCAAGGCTCAGCTGTTCATTCATTCATTCAGGAAAGCTTATTGAACCCCCCTCACCAAGTTCCTGGCTAAGCATAGGAGGGGATAAAGAGATAAAGAAAACACCTGACTTCAAGTATTCATAATTGAAGAAAATAGAATATTCATCAGGAAGCCTTTCCTGGTTTCTCCCAGGTGCTAGTGCCTTCCTCTCAAAGATTATTTTCCCTTTAATTAACACTGTGTATAGATCTTGTATGTACATAGTTATTTGCATATTATCTCCCTTATTAGAATTTGAGCTCCTTGAGGGTAAGAACTATGTTTTTGTCTTTCTTTGTATTCCCAGTCCTTTACACTGTGCCTGGCACACTTATAAATGCTTGCTGGCTGACTGATTTCCTCAGATTTTCTGGATGATGGCTATAAGTCTGATGAGTCTAAAGTCCCCCAAAGGGAACTTGGGGATTTTCCTATTTTCTTAAATGTTTCGACAAGTATCTCTTCACTAATTGGAAATATTTCATTTTCTTCAATTATGAATGTTTGAGGTCAGGTGTTTTCTTTATCTCCTTATCCCCTCCTATGCTTAGCCAGAGACTTGCTGGGGTGGGCTGGGGGGAAGGGGGATGGTTCAATAAAACTTTGCTGAATGAATGAATGAACAGAAAATCCTCTTCCCCAGCTTCATAAAGAAGAGTTTGCTATTCCTCTCTTAGGTTATAGGATCACAGATTTAGAGATGGAAAGGACCTTAGAGGCCATCCAGTCCATTTTCTTCATTTTACAGATGAGGAAACTGAGGCTCAGAGAGCATAAATGACTTGTTCAATGTCACATGGGTAGCTTATAGCAGGGGAAGGATTTGAATTAAAGCTTCTGAAGCCAGCACATTATCCACTGCATTTCCTTTCCTGGGCAAAAGGAAGCAAACAACCATCGTGTCTAAGAATATCTGTGCTATATGTAATAACCAATATGAGACAAACAGCAGCTGATGGTTCTGTGCACTATCAGGATTCACTAGAGGTGACACAGACTTTGCCCTCATGTGTGCCCAGGGAGCTCCATGCTCAGAACAGCTTTTCTGGGCACACAGTGAGGGCCCTGAGGTTAGAAGGCCAAGTTTTCTTCATGCTCAAACCCAACCCTACAGCCAAACTCTTGACATAGATATTTGAGGGGAGTGGGATATGGGACTAAATAGGAGTAGATGAGGGCAAAACTTAGAGTGCATGACAGAGGAGAGGAAAATCTGACCAATGTCAGCTCTCAGGTTTATTCCTGACCCTGAGTCTTGCTGGCGAAAATAAGGCTGTTCGAGATGGTATGGGAGGGGTCATTAGGCCAGGGGTAAGTCATACTGTGCGCCTTCTTCTACCCCACCAATATCCAGATTACTAGCAGAGTAATTCTGTTGTTGAGTCATTTTTCAGTCATGTCTGACTCTCTGTGACCCAATTTGGGGCTTTCTTGGCAAAGATCCTAGACTGGTTTGTCATTTCCTTCTCATTTTATTTTTGAAGAATTGAGGCAAACAGGGTTAAGTGACTTGCCCAGGGTCACACAACCAATAAATGTCTGAGGCCAGACTGGAACTCAAAAAGTTGAGTCCTCCTGATTTCAGAACCTGCAGTGTATCTGTTCTACCACCTAGCTGCCCTATTGTACGATAATAGGTGCTTAATAAATGCTCAATGACTGATTATACAGTATTCAGATGAAATCAGATTGAAATAAATATCAAGGTCAACTTTGAAGGCAGGATAGAAAAAGTACATACACACACACACACACACACACACACACACGCACACGCACATGCACACCCTATATCAAAGTGTAGCCTAAAGGGTGCGCATGTAGAAAAGAGGGAAGGCTTTGAAATAAAAGAGGAGGAGAAGGAAGAGGGAGGCAACACACATATAGGTCTGATTTCTCTCCCTTAGAATCCACTATTTCTTCTAAAGCTCAGCTCATGTCCCCTCCTATAGGAAGTTTGTCCCAATCCCTCCAGTTGCTAGGGATGGCCTCCACCAATATATATCTATTTTATATTTATTTATACATGTTGTTCCCCAAATCGAATGTATGCTCCTTGGAGAAAGGACTTTTTTTCTTGGGGGAGGGGAAGGGGGATGGAATCTGTGCAATTCCAGTGCTTATCGCAGTACCTGGCACATATATACACACACATATATGTATGTACATGTGTATGTATATATATTGTCTCTCCCACGAGAATGTTACCACACTGAAGGCAGGACTGTTTTTGCCTTTCCTTGTATCCCCAGGGTTTAGCACAATGCCTGACACATAGTACGCTCCTAATAAATACTTATTGATTGATTGGCTGTTAAATACTCTTGGTTGATGAATGACGAGGTCTTGTCTCCAGCTGGAGTCACCTCCTTGCTCCAGTATTGTAAATGAGCCCAATGACTGTCCTAGTATCTTTCCACCTTTTCGGCAAAGACCTATTACATCGTAAAAGAACTCTGACTGGTCATTAGGAGTCTAGTTCAATTCTTTTTTTCACAGACCGCACCTGTAAAGCATGATCAAAAGTCTCCCAGACTGCAGCACAGAAATTTTCAAATTGCCAGGAGTAACCTTTATCATGATTTAAATGGCATTGGCCCTGATAGCAGCATTTAAAACCACTGGCTTTCAATTATCCTAGGGGGAAGGCTCTGATCTCGACCTTGTGATGGCTGCCTTTCCCTCTCTGGCGACAATGAAAGGTAATCATAACCGTGGTTTCAAATGGCCACCATTTATATTGATTTCTCCCATTATAATAGGACAGGTTACACTGTGATAGCTGGTATTCAGAATCATCATTTCCACTGTGAATTGCTAAGCACTTTCTCCTTTCATAAAATTTGTACAGAAGGTGTTGTTGGCAAGAAAAAAATCCTGATAACAAAGGCCTTGTCTTTTAATTTCATTCTTCTGATCTCTCAGATACCCTATAGCTCAGTAATTACCCATTTTAGGTGGCCTTCTTTTTTAATGAGTTATAATGCTGAGATTCTTTTTCTTATTATCCTTCCCTTTCTACTACCCCATCATTATTTCATAACATTTTTGTTTTCACATAGTCCAGGATAGTTTTGAAGGGAAAACATTTTTTTTTTCCATTGGACTATGATGTGATTTTCAGTGAGCTGTCATTTCTCCTTGATCACTGGCTGGGTCCTTTATCCTTGTCTCCTAAGCTTTTCTCTCTGAAGTCTGAAGGTCTCCTTTGGTCCCTTAAATCAGAACATTTCAAGTCAACCCAATGAGTCATCTTGGAATTGGAGGATATCTCTGTGTACTCAAGTTTCTGACTCCACATCCAGGGCATTATATTGATGGTAAGGAATTGAAAAGAGAAAAAAAATGAGGCCGTGAATTCATTTGAAGGGAAGTATAACTTGAGAACTGAGTGAAGAGGAAATATTTGGTGGGTTAAGCTCAAACGAGGAGGTCAGAAAACAGAATGACATTCACAGAGGAAGATGGGAGGTGAAGAAACATTTGTCAAATGCCTGCAGCCTGCAGGGCACTGGAATGGAACTACTGATGAAGACAGAGTGTCTTAGAGGGGACAAAATGAAAGGCGAACCGTAGGCACAGGATACTACAGAGACTGAAGGAGAAGAGCTGTGAGACATTAGAAGAGAAAACAAAGAGAAAGATGAAATTGAATGTCTCATGAGCTAGCATACGATTCATTTTCCAAGGCTCGGAAAATGAAAAACCAAAGGACATTCTTTTGTGAAAAGAAAATGAATTTAAAAAATTACTTCTCGTACACAACGGCACCTTATCCACATACCACCCAACATAAAGCTTAAGGCAAATAATGATAATCCTTTATACTTTAGTACAGTGGAAAGGTCACTAAAATTGGAGTCATAGGGGCCAAGTTCAGAACTCACACTCCATTGGTATGATCTTCAAAATCCCAGGGTCGCTTCCTCGCTAAGGTGAGATGAAGCGATAGGACTTTCCTTCCCACCTTGGCTTCAACCTTTGATTTCATCAAAGTAGATGAACTCACGTCATCAGTGCGGATTGGGAATTCATCGGTAGTTTGCAGGCTTGGACAGTTCTCTAGCGGCACTGAGGAATCCCATGACTTAGGATCATAAGATCATAGGTCCAGAACTGGAACAAGAGGCCTCAGAAGCTACTGAGTCCAGCCCCCTCATTTTACAGGTGAGGAAACTTGGGGAAGTGCAATGACTGTCTAAGGTCACACAATAAGCCTCAGAGGAGGAATCTGAACCATAGAATCATGGGTCTAGAGCTGAAAGGGATCTCAGAGGCTATCTAAGCTGACCCCTCATTTCATAGATAAGGAAATTGGGGCCTAGGGAGGTTCAGTGACTTGTCAAAGCAGAATCCAAACCCAGGTCTCCTGACTCCTTTCATCGTACCACACAGCTGTCCTTGGTGCATAGTTACACAGCTAATCTATATCAGGGGAAGGGCTTGAAGCCAAAGCTAGTTTAGTATTCATCCTATCCACAATGTCATACCACGTTTCCTCTTAGCAGTGTGACATTAGTCAAGGTACATTGGCAATAATAACTTAAGGGAATTGATCTCCGATTAGCCTCCTAACCCCTTATGACAGGTTACATATGTACAGAGCTTAATGTTGGTCAAAACTTTATGTGCATTGTTTAATCTGATTCCCAAAGTCACCTTGTGAATTAGGTAGTATAACTACCATTATCCTCATTTAAAATATGTGGCAGTTGAGTTTCAGGGAAGCTTAGCAACTTGCTCAAGGTCACATAGCCAGAAAGTAGCGGATCTTAGGACTAGAACCAGAGCTCTTCGGAATTCCACATCCAGGGCTCTTTCTAGTACACTGCAATATGGTGGCCACAGGGGCATTAAGGCAGTGCTACTCAAGAATGAAATTGATCTTCCACCAAAGACAGGATCTCTCTGATATAAGACAACTGGGTTGAGGGTAACGCATGAAATGATAACTTACCGGCCTTGGCAGACTGTACTGATACATTTCTGGTCTATAGGTAGGCACCCATTGCATTCCACCCCTTGAGCGGGTCATGGTCCCAGGGGCACTTGTTACCACTTCAGAGTAAGGGAAGTGCTGGGCTGAGCCATAAGTGTCTTGCTGCCTGTTCTGCCCACTGTGGCCTGCGGAGGCCAAGCTGAATGCTTCTTCCAGGAGCATGTGCATCTGTTGCCTGACTTCATCAATGGATGGCTGAGAACTGAGGGTAGATGTCTCTGAATGACCTTTCACCTGGCGTGACCTTGGGTAGCCTCGAGGCTCATTAACTCGGTCAATGTTAGTTTCTTCTATAATTTCAGGTTCAGTCTGTGGGATAAAGCAAAAGTCAGTTCTCAAGAAGTTGTACATTATTTAGGAAATAATTGATGGCTGATATTTAGTATGATTAAATAACAATAATGGCCGTCACTTATATAGTGCTTTAAGGTTTGCAAAATACTTTAATACTGTTATCTCATATGATTCTTACAAAACCCTGTGCAGTAGGTGCAATTATTATCTCCATTTTACAGATGAGGAAACTGAGGCAGACAGAGGTTAAACGACTTTCCCAGGGTTACACAGCAGACAAGGGATAATAATGATAAGTTAATAGATATCAGGGGACTGAAAATCTATGGTTACCATCATTATCCACAAATTTTTGGCAATAGTAACAGTTTAATATGCTGTATTTTATACATATTATCTTCTTTGATCAATAACATTTTATTAGATTCATCAACCTATCATTTATCAAATGAGATTGATTACTTAGCAAATGAAATAATATTTGTAAAGACCTTAGCACAATGCCTGGCACATAGTAAGAGCTTTAAAAATGCTTGTCCCCTTATCCTTTCCTTCCCTTTTATTATCCCTATTCTGAGGCTCCTTTGGAGAGACTAACTCACATACTTAGTAAATGACAGCTGGAAATCATACCCAGGTCTTCCAACTTTTAAATAGAACCCGCTAATTTGTAGTACCTGGCACACAGTAGGTACTCAATAAATGTTTGCTGTAGTTTGCCAGTTAGCAGAGTTATACCATTCTGCTAGGTGCTGCCTATGCAGACAGTAGGTCCAATGTCCCCTAAACCACAATTAAGAATTTCAGGATTACAGCCATCTGTCATTTCCCAAAATCCTTGGCTCATGAATGGCTCAGCCTATATGAAATGCAGACAGTCTCTTGCCTTGTCCTTGATAACAAATAGCTAAGGACACTTGTCTTTTATTTTGGAGAGATTTCTGAACACTAATTAGTTGATATATGCTAAGTACTGGTCATGCATTAAGTGTGGTTTTTGAATCTATTTTTCTGTGGGCTTCTGTGAGACAGCATCTCTGTTTTATAGAATGTTCAATTGGAAGGGACCTTAGATACTGTCTATTCTTAACCCCTTCAATCTCTTTTAAAAATGAAGCTTCATTTTTTGCTTTTAAAAAAAATTCTACCATGTTCCAATAACCCACCCCCTTCCTTTATAATAATGGAACACAAGTAAGAAAAACAAGACAACCCAATGGCTCTGTCTAACAGTGTATGTCTTGGTCCACACCTGCAGATCACCATCTCTCTATGAAGAGGAAAATGGTTAATTTCACAACACCCTACAATTCAAAGAGAAAAATGAGATGAAAAGAAAGGGACTTGATGAAGGTGTCACCAATAGTTAATGGCAGAACTGGAACCAGAAACCAGCTTTCCCATGACATTGAAACTCCCTTTGCCAAGTTCACCCATTCATTTCTCTTATGGTTCTCTCTCTACTCTTCTGTTTGGTTGTATTGAGAAATCTCTGAAAGACTGAGTTTCCCCTGGAAATAACGAATGCTAGGTCTTTCCTGATCCCCAGTTGTTTGTCCTTTGCAAATCATCTTGCTCTTATTTCCAGTTTCCCTGGTGTATCCCCCCCTACCTAGAATGTAAATTCTCTGAGGATAAGAACTGTTATCTTTATATCTCCGGTGCTTAGAACAGTGCCTGGCACATAGAAAGCATCCAATAGTATTGTTCCATTGTTTCAGTTATGTCCAACTCTTTGTGACCCCATTTGGGGTTTTCTTGGCAAAGATACTGGAGTGTTTTACCATTTCCTTCTCCAGCTCACTTTACAGATGAGAAAACTGAGGCAAAAGGGTGAAGTGACTCACCCAGGGTCACACAGCTAGTAAAGTGTCTGAGGCCAGATTCAAAATCAGGACAATAAGTCTTCCTGATGCCAGGCCTATTGCTCCATCCACTGTGCCACCTAGTTGCCCAACCACAAATGGATAGACCCTGAACAGCCTGAGGGCAGGATGAGCAGGAACACAGATATGAAGATCATGCAGAAGGGAGGTGTTTGGGGATGCTGCACACTTGGTCTGCGTTATCATTCGGGCAAAGGTCATCCCTGGATGTAGGCATCACTCCTATTTTACAGATGGGGAAACTAAGGTACCAAGTTAGATGACTTGACAGGTCATGGAATTAATCACAGATGGAAGACTAGGCCCCACAGATCGTCACTTTCTCTCTCTCTCTTTCTCTTTTTTTTTTGGTTAGGCAATGGGGTTAAATGAGTTGCCCAGGGTCACACAGTTAGTAAGTGATATGTGTCTGAGGCCGGATTTGAACTCAGGTCCTCCCGAATCCGGGGCTGGTGCTCTATCTACTGTGCTACCTAGCTGCCCCTAGATTGTCATTTTCAATTCAAACATCTATTAGCACTAGAAGATATTTCTTTTAAATCAGTGAGATCTTACTTCATAACTAATTTTTATATGATTCATCTCTACTGCCAATTTAGCTATATATTTTCTAACAGTTTGGCGATAAAAAAGCCTTTCAAATAATAAATAAAGCTATTTGCTAATAACATGTTTCAAAATAGATATACCTATTATAAAAAAAAACCGATTTTCTCAACGTGTCAGGGTCCTACAGTCACTGACAAAGACACACCTGAGAGAAAAAGGAAGATCTCATAAGGTGCTGCTGACCACATAGCTGTCACTGCCTTTGAAAGATGGAGCCATCATTTCCTGGCACTTCAGGGTTTTCTGTGTCTAAGATCTTCAGCAGCTTTCAGCACAGCCCAGCACACAAGATCTTCTCTAGGGACACACCCACCTCAGGGGAACACCAACACAGAAGCCATATTGCTGACACAATGAGGTCTCATCTGGCTATCTTAGTTTTCTTTCAGCTCCACAATCACAGTTATAAGGGTTAATTTAAGGAATACCATCTCAGAGGCTTGGGCTCTCCTTTTCTATACTGTCTCTGGGCAGCCTCATGGTGTAGAAGAGCCTGGTACCCTTGTTAGAGATATTGGCAACAGCTGCTACCTTCCTATACCCATAGTTCAACTCTCCTGTCTCCCTGACTACAGCAACAAAATGAGGTTCTGGGCTTTATAAATATGAGAATTACAAAATGTATTAATTCTACACATTCATATTCATGGTATTGAATTAGCTCATTTATTTTTTATGAGAATGAGGAAATGAAAAGTAATACATTTTAAAATGGAAATATTCACTTAATTAGGAATCCTTCCTTTATGTAATAGGTTGACATCAGACTCATAACATACAGCAGTTTTTACATCCTTTTCAAATCTCAGTTACAGAATCAGAGGTTTTCATAGCCAGAGAGAACCTTAGAAGTCCTTTAGGTCAGTTCTTATCTGAAGAGGAAGCTCATCCCTTGGACTAATTGGAATTCAACTAACTGGGATCCCCAGCCAACCAGAACTTTGCTTCCACTTTTTGGAAAATCATAAGAAAACAAACTTATGTTAAGGATTCATTTTTCTCCCTTAAAAAAAAAACCAACAAAAAAAATTCAATTTTCAGGGTAAGTCTAAGGCTAAATCCATGGCCAGCCCAATCCTGGGCAATGAGAAGTCATGCCTACAACAAATATCCATGGATACTATGAGTCCCAATCATCTACCCTGAAGATTTAGCTAGATTCATTATATTCTCTTTATGTTTCTCACATGGAACACTCCATTACCCGTTTTCAGGTCTTTGCCCTTTGCCCATACCTGGAATGCACTCCCTCCTCCAACCTCATCTTGTTCACATCTGCCATTTTATAAGTATTGACAATAGCTCAGAGACAACAGTATATCATTGTACATGGGGAGCCGCCCTGAGAGTCAGGAAGCCCTGGTGCCAGGTAGCACCTCTGACACATCCTACCTGTGTCTTAGTCTGTAAGTTGGCATTAATTGGCATTGGCGAAGGAAATTCCTTCACGAGGAAATTCCTTCACAAGGAAATTGGAGGTCTGGTCCACAACAAAATAGAAAAATAAAAGCTCACATTTATAGGGTGGTTTGAGGATCACAAAGTACTTTATGCACATTAGTTTTGTTTGATCAGAAGAGAAAGCCCTGAGAGGGAAAGAGATTTACCCAACATCACACAGACAGTAGAGTCACAGAGACAGGATTCAAAGCTAGGCCTTCTGACTTTGAACTCTAGAGCTGTATCCCCATACAGAACTGGCCTGACAGGACTACATGTGGTCACCAATACAGCAAAATCTGACAACTAACTAGGAAGTCTGACCTGCCTCCAAATCATTCTATTCTACCGTTGATGCTTGAAATTTCTCTATTACTAAAGAATTCTGTTGTTTTAAGCAATTCCTTCTCCCTGGTTTTCTTTTAAAATATAAATAGGGTTGAAAGGGATGACACATTTCTAGCCACTTAGGTGAATGTTTTTTCTCAGATTGCTTTCATCTTACAGAAAGTTCAAGGCATTGGACACTGACTCGGGAAGGGACAGACTGGCATTGAAAAGGGAAAAGAGGAGGGAGGAGTGAAGACACCCTTCATTTGTTTCCCAGAGGTTATGTACAGGACAGGGAAGGCATTTTCTAGTCACATTTATTAGGAACATGCTTGTGGAAACTCAATCATTTTTATTCAGTCTTAGGACTGACTAACGGCTTCAATAAAGTCAGAGTATCTGATTTAAAACAATTGTTTAGCCTTGATGGGCAACATGTCAACAGGACCTCAATTCATTTAATTTCTAATTGATTTCCTCTCCTGGAGGCATTAATTAACATTCAATCATTAGCCATAAACTTAAAGAAAATCACAAGATTGTCAACTGTTTTAAGGTGTAACTGCTTGAAATGGTTGGGTCATTTTGACCTCTATGGAAGTGTTGTGGTCTTGGGTTGCTGGAAACCTCAAAATCCAAGGGTACAAGGATCATGGTCTTCCTTGAAAGAATTTGACCACTCAAGTCTTCTTTCAGTCCAAGTAGTGAGTTTATTGTAACACCAGTAGAAGAGGGCCAGTACCCTTCTTA